CAGCAGGATACATTTTTTGTGGACTTACTGTCAGCAGTTTTTAGTTCTCTGTAGTCACCGTGAGCAATACCAAAGTACAGTCATCTTCTGATTGTGTCACAGGTGCACAGACATGAGCTGGCTCCCTTTCAGCATGTTAACCCCAATGTCGTGCTTTCTGAGAGTGCCTACGTGGTTTCCACAGCTAGCTGTGATCCAGAAGGAGTTTTATATCATTTAGGGGGAGCCATGCAAGACATAATAAGGTCTGAGCACCAGAACTGGCTGTGTATGGTGTCAGCAGCATGTCCTGAAATGGTGTAAAAACTGACAGTCATGAGGAGAAGCGAAAGGGAGGATGTTTGATCGATTCTGCAGAGAGACAGCTCAGTTCACAGTAGGCTTAGCTTTGGCAAGGCTTGGAGAGGCTCCGTGCATGGCCTCTTACATGTCCATTCGTTCTGGAACTGATGGCTCCAGGTTTAGGGACGAGAGGTCTTCTGAGCATGGATGTAGCCTCCTGTGTGTCCTTGGGATTGCCTCTGCTTTTTGGGGGACCTAGGAGTGTTAGAAGAGTTTCCAATGCATCCAAGCAGCTGTAGGAGTTAACTCGGGATCAGTAGAGGGATCAAGCTCCTTTAACCGACCTGGACCCAGCAGGGTTGTGTTTAGAGCAGCTGAGGTTCCTGCACTGTCCTCTGCGGTGTGCGTTGTACCTGTGCAGTGGAGTAAATGAATAGCCATTTGTCCGTCAGACTGCCTGATCTGATTAAGAAGTGTTGACTGTATGGTGTTGTGCAGTTGTTCGGAAGTGTTTCTTTAGTGTGAAGATTCTGGCAAGGGTGGGAGGCATTTCTCTTTCTTGAGTAGACTGTTAATGAGTCCTCAATTAAGAAGTATTTTCTATTACATGCTAAGCAAAAATATGAAATAGAAGACATAATTGCTTTGCTTTGTGATCGGGAGATTAGTTATATCAGAATGGAAGAAGTCATTAAAATTGCATCTGAGACATTTCTGGCGTTCTGGAGAAAAAATTAGATTTCAATTAATGTATATTTTTCTTACAAATAATTATAGAAGATACTGAAATCAGTCCATTTCAGGGAAAAAAGTATATTAGAAATTCTGTTGCTTACTTCCCTAGGATGTTGATGCTACAAACCCAAATTATGAAATTATGTGTATGATAAGAGATTTCAGGGCAAGTTTGGATTATAGACCACTGACAACTGCAGATCCTGTAAGTACCCCAGCAACATGGACATTTTTTATCCTTCTGTATTTTTGCTATGTCTTTCCAGTTTTTTCAATGCACACTTCTGTCTGTAAACATGAAAAATAAGTAGTTCAATATGTATATTAGTATTCATTATAACATGGGTTTATTTTTTCAGTAATTTGATGATATTGAAATTAGTAGGTATTGGAGGTCCTAGACTACTAAATTATTGTTTGTTATGTTACGTCATATAAATATCTTTTTACTACGAAATAATACCAATATGTACTAAGTAGTCACTCAGACTCTGCATTGTAAATTTTCCTGGGCTGCTAGGGGATCTGCACACAAAACCATTAAGCTTCTCTGAAAAACCCTGTTGAGTGTAAAGATTAATATTTGATCTGTGAAAGTGATGAGGGCCTTTGGTTTGCAGAGAAGTCAGAGAAGCAGAATCTTTAAATTATGAAGATTATCAGACCTCTGTGGAAATCAGAGATTGTGACAATTTCTGTGAATAGCATGTCTACCCTGTTAGAGCTGAATTTGTGTGCAACGTTCCAAGAGGTACCTGGTACTCTACAGGTTTAGATCACTGTCTGCAGGGAGTTTTGTTAATGTATCGTTCTCTCTTTTGGAGAGTTGTGGCTATTGTGCAGACACAAGGGGCTTTTACATGTTCAGATGACTCACTGTCTTGGAAATTTCTCTTTGTTTAAATGATTGGTTAATTAATTCAAGAATAGAAGTATAAAATTAAGTAAAATACTGTGTAACTGGAATTGGGGTGTAGTTCACTGGAAGATTGTTTCCTTTGCAGATTGATGAGCACAGGATATGTGTTTGTGTACGAAAACGACCACTCAATAAAAAAGGTATGACCATTGAAGATTTTGCTGAACTTTTTGTCTGAAAAGCTGCTTCTGATAGTAATATTATCTGTGTTAAAGAGATCTAGAAGTACTGATCAAAGGTGAAGCTGTTACACTAGACAATATGTGTGACAGACCCAGAAAATTCATAAACTCTTCATAACTTGGCTAAAGATGGGAAGAAAAGTAAACTGTCACCATTTTGTGGACTGGGAGCTGAGGCACGGAGAGACTGCAGTTTTTTTCCAAGGTTATCTAGGATGTATTTATTTGATCTGGAAATTAGTTATACTGTAATTTCTTCAGTATCTGTACATTGCGTTAGGATCACCATTCTTTTAAACTATCCTTGCAGTGATCTCCTAGCAGACAGCTCCCCAGTGAAAACCTTCATACGCATTCTTTGTACACATATTTTTATACTGTCAAGTGGTCTTGAATCAAGAGAATCCTTGCATCAAGGGAGCAATTCAGGTGCCTAAATGCTGATGTCTTATGACATATTAGGTGCCCAAATGTGTCTGAGACATCCTTGCAGTATCCATCCTAGTGGATTACAGACAAACTGGAGACCTGTATCCCCTGGAGCTGCTGCCCAGGGCTGGGTAAGATACCCTAGGGCATGTGAAATAAAAAACTATTAGGTACTGGAATGACTCCCTAGTGACATTTTTTTAGATATAATTAGTACTACAACTTTTTTTTCTCACTGCCTGCTCATCAGACTGGAGTCTGTATTCCAAAAAGATCCATTCGGTTTTCAGCTCCAGTAAAATCCTAACCTTCCCGTGAAGTTCCTTACTTCCAGTGGGAAATTAAGAACACGAATGCTTCTGGATTGCAGCCTGTGTGAATCCAGAGCTTAATTAAGCTGACTTTTGTTTTGAAAGATGTTTCTTTCCTTCTCCTTCTACTATATTTTGTTTAGCTAAAGGACTCAAAGAGCATTGCTCTGATTTTGAAACAACATGGGATGCATTTATTATTTTTGTACTGTCAGAACTACGCATTGAGGATTATCTGGAGCATATCCAGAGGAAAACGGGAGAATTGTATAGGAGAGGGAAAACATATGTTGATGCCAGTATATACTTAGGTTTTTGTCTTATTTTTTTCCCCTCCGTGTTGCTGTTTCCCCTGATTTATTTTTCCTTAATTTTTACTTTACTGTTTTCTTATTCTCAGATTTATTTTTTCTTTTATTGATCTGAAAGGAGTGCATAAGCTCAAAAATGGGTTAATTGAAACTATTTTGCACAACCTATTTAATAAGGGCATTCCATGTACAAGTGTGGTAGCAGTTGGATTTCTGTTTCAGCTTTGGAGGTTATGTTTGATAAAATATCACTTAGAAATCTGATATATCTGGGGGAAATGTCACCTTTCACCTCTGCTGAAGGTGGATGAAGTGAAATGACATTAAATGAGAGCAAGTTGTCATGGGGCATGAGTTGGGATTTGGAAGTAGGATCTGAATTTGTGAAAGTTGCATATCTTAGGTATTAGTGGTTTGGAGCTATTAAAAACAGTGCAGAGGTGTTTGTAGGAAGATGAATGTCTCAAATAAAAAATGAGGTTGGCACTAAAGTAATTTTCATTTTTAAGAATAAGCTGTAGAAACAAGGTGTTAATGAAATAGTCTATGCAGTGATGAACCATAGAGGTAATCTAGTACCTACATGACACAGTCTTCTGAAAACACACACTTCGTAAGAAACAGTTTCTCATGCCACGTTTTAAAATTGAAGAGTATAAAAGAATCAAAGACACCAGTGTGTAACCTCCTGAAGAGAAGACACAAAACTAGTTTGTTTGTCTCACAAAGACAGAGTTATCACCAAAATTTTTACGTGTTCTCAGCACCATCAGTTCTGTGGATTGACTTTGCAGGAGGTGGGTGTTTGGATTGACATTTTAAGAGACTATTTCAATGGTGTATATTTATAATTGAGGAATGTTTGGTGGGTTTCAGAAAAATTATTCCAAATTTTCATCAGCAAGGAATACAGGTTGTCATAACAAATAGCTGGAAGCAGGTAAATGTCTTATTCCAAAGTTGTTTAAGAAAAATGAGCTTTTGACTGCTTAAACTAAAAAGCTTTTGCTGCAAAGAATTGACCGTCGTACATCTCTTTTCATCACTCTTCCTTATTTCTTCTCTGTGATTACTACAGAATAGTTGCATTTTATTTTATTGCAGAGTGGTTGAAAAATTGATTAAATAGTGACTTGAATGCGTATTTCTGTCGGTGTATAATGTCATGCAATGGTAACGACTGTGCCGTTTGATCAGTATGTTAACCGGTGAAATGACTTCTAGATTGTATAAAGCCACATAAAATTCTTGAACTGCATGCCTTAAGAAATTTTACATAGAAATGCAAGTAGGACACATTAGTGATCCTGACTGCACACAAAGGATCTTTATTTTTGTGTATAGCATGGATCACTGGGTTGTCTGTTTTGCTGACTCATATCTCACACAACAATTAGCAGTAAATTGTAGTGCTGCTTAGTAATTATAACCTGGGAACTCACTACTGAAATCACATCTAGATGGCTTTTGTTCATTCCCAGTGATAGGAAGGATCATTAGCACTTTCAGCTCTTTCTGTTTATAAGGTAATTTTTAGAAAGGATTTTACTCTAGAGAAATTCTATATTAAAGGTGTATCCTTTAGGTTCCAGGAGGAATACACAGATGAAAATGCCTATGTAGAATGAAAGCAAAATTTTTGTTTTTGAAAGCTGTGAAATTTAGGGAAAATAAAAGGATAAAAGTTTAAAATAGAGCGGATTATCATAAGGATATTAATTTCTTTGTGTGTTTAAGTTTGACAGTCCAAGCAGTGTAGGACTTCAGCATCCAGTTTCTCCAGTAGAGAAGTTGTTTATAAAAACTCCGAGGGTATGGCAGTAATCTATGAAACAGTAGAGGAGCCCTGAGGAAAAAGAACTCAAATCCATGGAAAGTGTTATTATAGAATATATAACAAGCAACAGTGATAGTGGTATAATTAATGATCTTAGTTTTTCTAATCAACTTAGTACAATCCCTCTTTTAATTTCTAGCAATTGGTAGGATATGAAGACTAGACTTCAAAGATCCAAGATCCAAATCTCTTACTTAGCAGATTACTATCTAGGCGTTGGAAGCCCAAATCCATTGCAGTGTTGTTACTTGGAGGAGCTGTGTTATCTGAGATGTTATAAGAGTGTAAACAATGAAAAAATGTAAAAAATAATGATGTGTTGTTAGTTAAATATATATTTCACTTATTTTATAGAAACTTTAATGAAAGACCTTGATGTAATAACAATTCCTAGTAAAGATGTTGTGATGGTACATGAACCAAAACAAAAAGTGGATTTAACAAGGTACCTAGAAAACCAAACTTTTCGTTTTGATTATGCCTTTGATGACACGGCTCCTAATGAAATGATTTACAGGTATGTGTATATGCTTTTTTTTGGTGAATCTTTTTTCTCATGTATCTCCCATGTCAGTAACTGTGGGCTTACCTCGGTCACATACTTTACTCCTATTCTCTGTGTTACCAGATATGTATATTGCTACCTCCATTCTCTTGCCTGTTTACTTTTGTTTTAACTCTTTATCCTAAATTCTTCACCTGCAATGTAATCTTCACCTCCATTGACCTCAGTCCTGCTCTCAGTCCTTCTCCAAGCCCTGTTGGTTTCCAGGCTCTGGCGTGTATTGCCTACCTCCCCAGCTACTGAATGTTTGAACAGCTTCATGAACTCTCCATTTGCCTCGGGGTTACTCTGTTATTAATTAGTGTGTGCACAGTGCCTGAGGAACCTGAGTCATGGCTTTTGGTCTTCAGGAAACTTGGAAGAAAAGGACAGCCCAGGCCCCAAAGAGCGTGCAGTTTGAATATTAGATAATTAAGAGATGGAAACAAATCAGGAGAGAGTGGGGAA